TTTTTTTGGTAAAAACTCAGACAGAGCTCCTCCAGGACTCCATGTGTGCTTCATCTATACACACGATATTTATTTCTTGCCGTCTCCCTTATAATCCGGGCGTTCTCAAACGTATTTGGAAGTAGGTTATCACCGTGTCCACCTTCCAAGCTGGGAAACTGCTGACTCTCCATTCACTGTGTTTCCTATAGTAATTGACCTTTGGAAGCAAAAGGCGGGTGCTCGCTTCCTTCCCCAAAAGGCTGCCACTGCCGAGGAAACCGAGGAAACCGCTGCTACCACAGGGGGAACTCGAGAGAGGAGTTGTTACGGAAAAGGAGGAGAAAGGACATTACTTACTAGGAAGTCAAGAAACTAAAGCCTCTGCTAGTGTCATTTTGGACACCAGTAGAAAACAGTCTTGAACTTCATGGTGGACAGAGAGCTTAGATCCTTTTATTGCATAAATGTCCACTCCTGGGCAACATACCAAAGACCCAGAGATAACTTTATAAGTGTCTTCACTTTTAAATATCCCCCTTGTGTAGGGCTAATTCCTAAACTCAGCACCACTGACATTTCAGGTCGGATGCTTTTTGTTGTTGTTGTTTGGGGAGCGGGGGGGTGTCCTGTACATTGTAGGATGTTTAGCAGCATCCCTGGCTTTAATGCACAGTCAGTAGCACCCCCACCACCACCACCAATTGTGACAACAAAAAATGTCTTCAGACATTGCCACATATCATTGGGGAAGCGGGGAAAAGGCAAAATCTGTCTGGTTGAGAACTATATGGTTCCCTACATATATGTACACACATAGGTCAATAAACAAGGGTAGTTTCAATGATTAAAACCAGCCAAATCTGTGCCATTGGCCTGATAAAGTGGCTTATTATCATAACTCCAATCAAACTAAGATGTGTTTAAAGGCAACCAGAAATTCACATGAAAATGGCATTTCCAAGATTTAACATTTATTCTTTGTAAAGTCTCTGCTCAAGCATATTCAGTTCATTTTCCAACATGACCAAAACAATCTGAAGAACACAGCCGACTTCCCTTCACTTCCACTGTGTTTCACATACGCCTGGGATGGCAGCTTGGATTGTGTTGTGACACATTAGGCGAGCCCATCAGAATAATTGCAGCCTGGTTTGTGTGGCGCTTTGCAGTTTACAAGTCACTTTCACATACCTTACCTATTTTGAGTCTGATAATAATCTTATGAAATTGACAGGGAAAAGTAAATATTCACACTTTTAGAGGTGAGGTAACTGAGGCTCAGAGAGCTGACATGGTGGCCCAAAGTCATTCTGTCATTAGCAGCCCAAGGAACCTGACCCCTAATTCAGGCTCATTTTACACTAATATTAAACCTCACACTTTGAAAGTGTTAATTACTTCATTTAGAAATGATGTAGCTTCTTCATTCAGAGCTACATAACATGCTGAAGTTGTAAACAAATTTAAAAAGAGATCATGCTTTTGATCATGGGTGACTCAGTGTGCAATGATATTGAACACAAGAATGCCGTTGTGCACAGTCACTGGGCTGATTATAAACACATTTAAACCAACAACGTGCACTTTTCCAAAAATTGGGTGTGTGCTATTTTGATTTTGTCAACTCATAACCATCAGATCTCTTTTTTTGAATAGGGTTATAACCAATGATCCTTTTTTGTTGTTAATCCTCACCTGAGGATATTTTTTCCATTGATTTTGAGAGAGAGAGAGAGAGAGAGAGAGAGAGAGAGAGAGAGAGGAAGGGAAGAGGAGAGAGACACATTAACTGGTTGCCTCCTGCACCAACGGGCCGGGGATCCAGCCTGTAACTGAAGTGTGTGTTCTTCACTGGAATTGAACCTGCTACCATTCCGTTTGTGGGCCAATGCTCTATCCACTGAGCCAAATCGGCCAGGGCAACCAATGTCCTTTTGAAATCAAGGTCAGCAACCTTAGAACTTAAGATAGATAGATAGATAGATAGATAGATAGATAGATAGATAGATAAACATCTATTTAGATAAATACCTTCCTTACTTGCCTGGAAAATTTATTTCTTTTTCTTAGATGAGTAGTTTTTATCGAGAGAGACAATCAAATGTAAGAAAACTCTCCCCATGCAACTGAATCTATAATATGTGAACTCCATTCTGGCATTTCCAGAATCAGAGAATTTTGAAGAGTCAGAAAAGAAAGACTCCATTAAAGACAAACAAAAAAGGACAGGAAATACTGCTGGAGTCTTCACATTTGGAAAATCCTGCAGGAAGTGCTTCAGTTTGGTTTGGAATAAGGAATTTAAACATGAGTCCGAAGGTTGACCGTCTGTTAATTGTAGCTTTTCTCTTTAATAAACAGCAGTGCCCACACTACTATGTTATTCTAGGCTCACCTAGCAGTTAATCCAGTTGCTCGGGCTCCCAGGAGCTCTTCTGAAAGTTCTGCTCACAGAGGGCCCTGACTTTTACACAAGCCGTAAGGGAAGTCGATTGTGAGTGTATTTCCTCAGAACCCCAAGGCACTTCTCTCCACAGAACACAGGCGGGGCGTCTACTTCCTGTCCTCGCTTAAACACCGGGCAGGACTGGAGAAAAGTCCACTTTCCAAAGCCAAAGTCGGTGAGAATGAGTTGGAATAAAGGAAACGGGTCCTTCACTAGGGTTTCTTTCTCATCATAATTCCTCAGCATCAAGAAAGGTAAGGTTACTTTGTGCCTCTCAGTTACTGATTTTTCCCCCCATGGAAAAGCTGATCATCAGTCAAGATAGAACACATGATACTTAGTCAGCAGCAAACTGTAAGCCCGCAGCAAGCACTATCTGGCAGGCTACCCACTCAGGATTTAATGAGCAGAACCAGTTTAGGCACCAGACACAATGTTACCTAGCTGTCCCCAGCAGGAGCCTGTGTTCCAAAGGAGAGGCTATCTTCTAGATCAGTTACCATGGTCTCAGAACATCCCAGGACTGTCATCAAATGTGCAGAACATCCCAGGACTGTCATCAACATAATGAGATTAGGAAGCAGCTCCAGTCTCCCATGAGATTAGGAAGCAGCTCCAGTCTCCCAAAGATCAAGCATGAGGCACAACCATAAAGAAAGGAGAAACCCTAAGGATTCAAAGTCAATGTCTTTTCCACAATGACCATTGTGGAAAAATACATTTTTATTATTAAATTTTAACTTTATGGAAACAGAATTCCCTAGTATGAAAGATGAATGTTATGAACTTGAGACAAGTGAGTCAGAATTTTGGAAGTTGGTGAAATTTTTTTTCTCATGTTCTGTGCCCAAGTTGTCAATTTTTATTGCTATCATTTAATTATTGTTACTACTATTGTCAGAATTAACTGAGCCTGCCTTCTATTTCTTTCCCAGAATACTAGAAACAGACTAGGTCACGGAGGACCAACTGTCCCCATTGTCCAGCAACCCAACTCCCAGGAGTCACTTTACAAATATTCCACAGTATCTGGAACAGGAATCACTAGCTTTAAGGGCTAGCCTGCAACCTGTCACAGCCTCAACCTATGTGTCCCCGATTCCCTGGTATTGAGCTCCTAATCCTCAGAGTTGATGCATTTTAGTGTTTTTATTTGCATAACTGATCATTCAGAATAAATCCTCAAACGTGTTTTTAACACACACACACACACACACACACACACACGCGCGCGCGCAACTTCAACTAGAGCTCTGCACACTCGGACCAACATTTTGCCACACCCTACACATCCTCAAGCACAGATCTGCGATCGTTAATGCTCAGATGAGGGATTTGCAAAAGCTTAGGGTTTTCGGTCTTTGCCCAGCCGGTCACCTGCCCCTGCCAGCCGTGGGGCAGCACCTTTTCCTGTGGGATCAGCATCCAGAGGGCAGCTGTACCCCTGACGCTGCTGGGCTTGGTAGACAGCTCACAGCAAGATCAAGTGGCGGGGCAGCCAAGTCATGGGTGCCTGGTGCCGCCCTAGAGACCCCGGGCAGGGCCGAGCTTGGGCGAGCCCTCCCAGCACCGATTCCGAGGTGGTCCCGCGGCGCCAGGGCGGGACGCGCGGCTCAGCCTCCCAGTGGCGACAGAGGGTGCCCTGCGCCAACGCCCGGCGTCCGGACACACCCGTCCCCACCACACCCAGGAGGTGCATGTGAGTCTTGTCTCCCTGAGACGTTGCTAACTCCGCCGGAGTCCGCTTTCTCCGGGGGTCAAAGACGAGGACCCGCGCCCAGGCGGCGCCCCCCCTCCGCTCCCGGGCTCTCCAGCCGTCCCCGCCTGCAGCCCGCCGCCCAGGGCCCCCGGAAGCCAAGCCCCCCCCCAAGGCACCCCCCTGCCCCCCGAGCCCTGCAAAGGGGGCCGCCCCACCGAGCAGTGCCCGGTGCCCTCGCCCCTGCCCGAACCGAGCGGCCAGCAGGTCGGGTCCCCGTCTCCGGTCCCGGACGCCCAGGCCACTCACCCTGCGCCTCGACACTCGCTCGCTTGCTCCGGGTGTGGCTCCTGGGGAGGTCGTGTTGTCCTGGACGGGGCGGCAGCTCCGCGCCTCAAATACGCCCGGCCTGGCCCGCCTCTCCCAGGGCGGGGCCGCCACCCCTGCCCACCCGGCCTCTCCCTGCGGAACCTGCTGGGCGAGCCCCAGGCCCCGCCGGGTGCAAAGGACACCCTCCGGGCGCGGGAGACGGCGGGTGGGACCCTGAAGGCGGCCCCCTCCCCAGCCTCCCCGGGAATGGAGGGTGGTCAGTTCACCATCCTCACCTAAGACGCGCGGGGTCGGGGGTGGGGTGGGGGGGGGGGTGGGGAGTCTGCGAAGGCGTACTGCGCCTGCTTGTTTGTTTTAATGGGGTTTACTTATTTTTTTATTGCTTGCTTGTTTGTAAAAATATTTTATTGATTTTTTACAGAGAGGAGAAGAGAGAGACAGAGAGTTAGAAACATCGATGAGAGAGAAACATCGATCAGCTGCCTCCTGCACACTCCCCACTGGGGATGTGCCCGCAACCAAGGTACATGCCCTTGGCCAGAATCGAACCTGGGACCCTTGAGTCCACAGGCTGACGCTCTATCCACTGAGCCAAACCGGTCAGGGCATGATTGCTTGCTTGTTTTAATGACGTTTGCTTATTTTTTGCCTGAATTGCAGGCAATCTCATCCCTTCTGCACTGACTTGACGTAACCCTTCTCTCAGAATCAAAGCCTTCCCAAGAAGTGCGCAGTCACTTGCGTCGGGGGAGGGGCCCTGTCCAGCTGCCTGAGATCCCAGGTGAGTTGCTCCCATGTTCGTTGCTTTCTGACGTGGACACATGCCTCTCACTCTGAGAGCTCATTTGTTTTTGCTCTTTGCTCCCCACCGCATCCTCAGCGTCTACCCAGTGTTTGGTGCGTCAGCTTCTCCGGAAATATTTGCTTCATGAATGAATGAATGAGATAATGAATCACTTCCTAGAAAATCTATCTTTTTTCACAAAAGTTGGAGATAAAGGAGGGAACAGTTAAATACAAAATACCTTTAGTAAAGGGGGAATAGGGCACAGCTACTCCTCCAGGAAAGGCTGTTACAAAGAATATTGATGCTTGGGAGAGAGATTGCATGTAGTATTTGGTTTCATGTAAGTGGGTAATAGCTGACTGAAATGGTTAAGGACGTCCAAGATTAATTTTTTTAAGTTCAGATAATTAACTTTATTATCTGAAATGAATTAAGACTTGAATGTAAGACCTGAGAATATAACATTCCTGGAAGAGTCCTGGCCAGGTACTCAGTTAGTTGGAGCGTCGTGGCCATATACCAAGGTTGTGGGTTCAATCCCTGGTGGGGCACATACAGGAAACAACCAGTGAATGTGTGGCTAGGTGGCGATGTTTTTCTCTCCCTTCCTCTCTCTCTCTAAAAATCAATAAATAAAAATGTTAAAAGAAATTCCGGTAAGAAAACAGGGGGAAAGCTCCTTAACATTGGATCTTGGCAATGATTTGTTTGGATAACACTGCAACACAAGCAAAAATAAACAAGCAGGACTACACCAAACTAAACAGCTGCACAGTGCGGGGTCCAGAACGAGTCACCCCAAGCTATGCTTCTGTAGTAAACTGTTTTGAGCTAAAGGCAACTTTAGCTTCAGGGTCAGGAGAAACATCTACCCTCTGCACCCCCTTTAACTGCTTAGAAGAATTTGAATTAGGGGCCTTGCCCGTAGAGATTATCAGTGGTAACCTTTTCAACTGACCTATATGGAAGGCAGACTTTTATTAACTAAACATCTGCTCTTCTTATCATCCTGGAATGACCCTTTGAAGCCCCCAAGGTGTGTTACCTCATTCCTAGCTCAGGACGTCATGTACCTCCATCCCCCTTTCTATCTCGGAACCTCTCCTGCATGTGGGACCTCTGACTCTCTCATGGATGTGTGGCTCCCATACATTTGTGTGTATTGATTTGGTTATTTCCTCTTGCTAATCTGTCTCATGTCTATTTGATTATTAGATCAGGCAGAAGAACCTTGAGAAATTTTGTTCCTTTCCCACAATAGCAAAGGAGACAATCAATAAAATGAAAATGCAACCTACAAGAAAAGGAAAGAAGATTTGCAAACCGTATAGTTGTAAGAGGTTAGTCCTCCAAATATACATACACACAATTGTAAAAAAAAAAAAAACAAACCCTAATAATCCAATTTTTTAAACAGGCAAAGGACCTGAATAGACATACAAATTGCCAACAGGTTCACCAAAAGGTGCTCAACATCAGTCACCATCAGGGAGATGTAAATCACCTCACACCTGTTGGAACGGCTACCACCAAAAAGACAAGACATAACAAATCTGGGCGAAGATGTAGGGAAAAGGAAACCCTAAGCACAGTTGGTTGGAATGTGAATTGGTACAACCATTATGGAAGACAGTATGGAGGTGCCTCAAAAAGTTAAAAATAGAACCACCATATGATCAAGCAAGCCTGCTTCTGGGTTTATATTTGAAGGAAATGAAATCACTATTGTGAAGGGATATCTGCACCATGTTCACTGCAGCATTATTCACAAGAGCCAAGACATGGGTATATCAATGTTTTTAAAATGTAAGGCGCTAATGGGCTGCAATGTTTCTATGAACTTAGAAATTACAGAAAGTGACCCAAGTAGCCTTATCATGTTGGCGACTTGAGATCCGGGGATGCCAGAGAACAATGAGTACGTGATCCATAAAGCTGTAAGAAACCAGAAGGAAGCAAACTATTACATTTGGGCCTTCCCTGCTATGACCCTGCCCCTCGATTACCCCACCCAGGCCACGGGCGCCCCCTGGCTGGTCTTCCTTGCACACAAGACTCCCTCTCCGCTCGCATCCTGGCACAGGCTGTTGCCTGTATCTGGAACTCTCTTCTCTCATTATCTACTAACTCTCTCATCTCCTTCAAGTCTTTGCTCAAATATGACCTTCTCCATGCATGTACCATGTTACCACTGTGTTTAAAATCGCAGCTCCAGGCCCTGGCTGGGTAGCTCAGTCGGTTAGAGCATCATCCTGCTATGCCAAGGTTTCGGGCTTCATCTCTGGTCAGGGCACATAAAAGAAGCAACCAATGAATGCATAAATAAGTGGAACAACAAATTGATGTTTCTCTCCCCTCCCTTTTCTCTCTCTCTCAAATCAGTAAATACATTTTAAAAATAAAAATAAATAAAAGATTTTTTAAAAATTGCAGCTCCAACCTTCCCCAGTTCCTCATGCTGTTGATCCCCCTTTACACTGTTCTACTTTTTCTAATTTTTTCATAGTATTTATCAATTTCCAGCATGCTATAGACTTTACTTATTTCTTATGTCTACTATTTATTGTTGGTGCCCCTGCCTTTCTTCCACTCCCCTCCCTGAGCGCAGAATTCTTTGCTGTTTCCTATTTATTTATTTATTATTGTTTAAAGTCTTACAAACAGTAGTACATATGTCTCCTTTTCCCCCCATTGACTTCTCCCAGGCCTCCCACCACCCCACCCCGACACATGCCCATGTGTCTTTGCTGTTTTATTGACTGGTACATGTTAGTCATTCAATGTTTGCTAAATGGTACATGGTAGGCATTCAATATTTGCTAAATGACTAAATTCATATAGTATGGAGATTGGAGGAAAATCCTTTGGCTGTTTGCTATTATCATTTTCAATGCTTTTCCACTTTAGTTAACTTTTTTTTTAAAGTTTTATTGATTTCAGAGAGGACAGGAGAAGAAGAGAGTGATAGAAACATCAATGATGAGAGAGAATCATTGATTGACTGCCTCCTGCACGCCCCGTACTGAGTATCGAGCCTACAACCTGAACATATGCCCTGACCAGGAATGGAATCGTGACCTTCTGGTTCATAGGTCGACACTCAACCACTGAGCCATGCTGGCTGGGCTAGTTAGCTATTTAATGCCCCTTAAAAATGATAAAACATATAAGAGTGAAAACTTCAGTGAATGGGTTACTATGTTTGTAAAATACAATGAAAAAAATGTAATGTCTATTCCCCAGGAAACTGATTCAAGACTGACCACTTATTTTGGATAAGTGACCTAGTCTCAAAGCAACTTCACTATGAAGCAATTATCAGCCACCTCTTTAATACATTTTGCACAGGAAATTCAAATTGTGTATACTCTCTTTTTCATTGGGAGAAATAGGTATTATCATCTCATTTTACCGTCAGGGAAAGTGATTTGCTTATCTAAGCTCATCCTCCTTGTCCAGGGGCAGAATCCAGAGTCCTGACTTTTACAACTCAGCTGGAAAAACACTGAGCAAAGAATGCTTGCAGGGACTGGCTTATGTGAACTAGGGAGAAAACCAGGTATATCATCTGGTCCCTCAGTAATTCCTGTACTCCCTAAAATAACCAAATAATTAATAAATGGTGAAAAGACAAATTATTTCACCCAGTTTTCAGCCTAGGGGGAAATGTGGAATGAAGGACCCATTGCTGGGATTGAGAAGTTGTCTTGGCATCCTCTAGGGCGATGGTTGTCAACCTTCCTAATGCCGTGACCCTTTAATACAGTTCCTCATGTTGTGGTGACCCCCAACCATAAAATTATTTTTGTTGCTACTTCATAACTGTAATTTTGCTACTGTTAATGAATCGTAATGTAAATATCTGAAATGCAGGATGAATTTTCATTGTTACAAATTGAACATAATGAAAGCATAGTGATTAGTCACAAAACCAATATGTAATTATATATGTGTTTTTCGATGGTCTTAGGCGACCCCTGTGAAAGGGTCGTTCGACCCCCAAAGGGGTCATGACCCACAGGTTGGCGACCCACAGGTTAAGAACCGCTGCTCTAGGGTAAATTAGAAAGGTCCTTACTGGCTGGTGCTGTTCTTGCCTCGTTGTTCCCTCCAGGCTGGCACACAGAAGTCAGTGTGCTGGGGATGAGTCACTGTGTGGCTGGGGACCAATTATGAAAACACGACCTCTCCTCTGAAGAGGGAACATGGCAATCAATTCACATGAATGGATCATCTGCAATAAATGACTAACCTATGGGTGTTGAAAAGGAGTTACCCACAGGCATGGCCTTTGTCTCTTAAGAAAATGCTGTAAATCTTAAGACTTTGAGTCATGAGGCCACATAGGCAGGAGTGGCACCAGTGCTCTTAGTGGATTAGCTGCTGGTAAATAAGAAAAAGGGATAGCCAATGGGCTGTTATGAAGATGACGGGTGAGTCACCCCCTTATCTTTCTCTCTGGTAATCTTCGGTGATTTCAGGAATAGGTAAAGCTCATGCTCTTATTCACTTACGCCTGGGCTCACATACACCTTGCACATAATGTGGTCAGACATATGTTTGGCTTCACTTCCTTACTTGCACATCCCCATGTATGCTTGGATGCCAACTTCATGCCCCTTAAAGCTAACAGGATTTTGCTGTGATCAGGGTGTACATGGGAATTTAAATTTGTACCCATGCAATACATGGCTCATTAGTACCCAACCTGAAGTCTATATAAACTCCTCCAAGATAATGTAAAAAGCAATCTAATAAAAATGATAAAAATATTGTCAAGTAACTTTTATGTATGAACTACTGTGCTATTGAAAATAAGGGACCAGGGCCAGCTGGCGTGGCTCAGTAGTCGAGTATTGACTATGAACCAGGAGGTCAGAGTCCGATTCCTGGTCAGGGCACTTACCCAGGTTGTGGGCTTAGTCCCCAGTGTGGTGCGTGCAGGAGGCAGCTGATCAATGATTCTCTCTTATCATTGATGTTTCTCTCTCTCTCTCCTTTTCCCTTCCTCTCTGAAATAAAAACTTAAAAAATAAAATAAGGGACCAGTGCAGTATTAGCCCTCAAGCAACAGGATGGCTGATTTCTACTAATACAGAGATTTGGGGACCCTGATAAAAATCCAGAATCATATGAGAGGCATCTCTCCAGGACCAGGAAGAGGAAGTTTGAGGGAGCTGGTGGCAATGCCAGAAGGCCGATCTGGATGAGTGGAACTTGGGTTAGAGTGAGCCAGGAGCAAGTAGGAAATGAAAATACTAATAAAAGCAAAGGAATGGTTTTCAAGGATGATTTAAAAAGAGAAAGAAAAAAATTGGAGGAGAGAGAAGAGCCAATTTTTTTTTTCTTTTGCAAGGCAAATATTTTTACTTCTGCAGAAAGGTATGTACCAACTCAGAGTCTGGCAGCACATACACTGAGTGGGTGGTCTGCTTGGGCTTTTATTCTGATGCATGTGATCTGTCCTTCACTCTTGATTGGTCACAGAGCTTAGGCTCACACTCTTATATGATTGGCTAATTTAAAGGAAGGGGTTGACCTTTGCCGTTTCAAGATGGCGGCCCGCAGGGTTGCTGCAAGTCATTCAAGCCAAAATGGCGGCTGCCTAAACTCCCTGCTTTGACAGAAAAGATTACTTGTTTATTCTCACAATTCCCCCCTTTTCTTATTTAACTCTTTTCTTCAAACTTGGTTAACATTCGTTGACTTTCATGCTCTGCAGTGTCTAGGTCCTAGACTCTAGGAGAAGATTATTTTGCTGTTTGGTCAATGCGGTTTCAATTAACCTTTGGATAAGACCTCTTATACACGGGATGATATAATATCCACTGCTGTCATTCCCTTCCATTCTTCGGACCATTGCTAAATCGGAGAAAGGACCCTCAATTCCAGGATTCTCAGCTGACTCATTGGCTAAAGTTGTTAATCCCTGTTGGGCCTTAGTGATGGTTTTTTCTGGAGCTGTGTTGTCAGGGATGAATGTACAATACTGGTCCCCAGCATTACACAAACTCCTTTTCTGCCAGAATCATATCCAAGGCCTATCTATTCTCCCACGTCATCCTCTGCTGGCATCTAGCTGCTCGCTGTCCCTTTAACTGCATCTCGAGTATAGTTAACAAGCCTTTGCTGGTCCTCGTAAATATAATTAATCCAACCACATTCTTGTTTACAATGGACTACCAGAACAGGACAATCTGATTTCCAGCCTTAAACTCCTTGGCACTCCTCCTGGAACCCCAATGGGATCTGTGTGTATATAAGGATCAAAGGAGCCCCCTGGACTCTCTCTCCTCTCCCTAGTCTGTCTGTCCATTGAAAAAGGTTTACAATATGCCAA